ATGGTCAGAAGTCGAAGTGGCCAATCCAAGCAAAATGCCTACTTTTCGATGCAGCATTCAACGCTGATTTCGAATCTGTATTGCATATCTGCTTAGCACCTTTGCGGACGAAGTTATGAGTAGTTTTATTGCTAAAAAATCGTGAAAGAAATTGCGGAATTGAGCACATTGTTGCATTTTCAGCTCATCTTGAGGTTACAAGAATATAAAGTAACCTAGCTGCATATTTTGATACAGCATTGAGCCGAACATGGCTCAATACTGCCAATTTTGCGCTTTGCATGCACGATTTCTTAGCAAAATAATGGCCTTTAACGGCTTATAACTTCGCCTACACAGTCGTCAAGCAGATACGGAATACAGATTCAAAGTCAGCGTTTTATGCTGCATCTAATGGTACGCCGATTGTTTGGATTGGCCACCGATTTCTGACCATTCCCTTGTAAGTTAGTCGCGTTTGAAAATCACGCTTTTTGGACGTTAGGAAGCGCTAGAAATGTATTAGGTGATGTTTTGAGCTTGTAGAGGTGATTTGGCTGCTGATTGCGGAAATACCCCTAGTTCCCACAAAAGGCTTCTTTGGTGACCTTACGTTATATGCAAAGTAAGAGATAAAGAATTAAGTTTGCCAAAACTTCGCTAAATGGAGTTAAACAGCATGCTGCTTCGACAGTCATTCCTTCTCTGATCGAGTTGTGATATTCACCGACCTAGCGCTTTTCTTCTTCACCTTATTCATTCACAGTACTTCCTCAAATTCTGAACAACTTCGGCTCTTGGTTACGACCCTCCCCACTCAGTCTTACCCTCAATGCGACCCCGCAGGGCTGCACGCCTGGCAGTGGATCGGCAAAACTTGACAACCCAGGATTTTAACGCAGTAGTTTCCTTATCGTCCAAGTATGAAAACAGTGCAATCCCGGTTGCACAGCATGCCTTCCCTTTCAAGAAAATTGCTCTCAAACTTATACGCGCACGCCAATCTTACACGAGTCCGGACGAGTTGGCCATTTCCTTCTCACCATTGGAGGCTGCCCGCCGCAATGTTATAACCATTGGGTCCTGCAACGACTCGGCGTCATCAGCCTTGCTTCACTCGTCCAACTCCGAAGGAAAGGGCAAAGAAAAACACTCATTGTCGGCGTTTTCAAGCTCTCAAAAGTGGATTTTCGGTATCAACGTATTGGATTTACTCCAGGTAAGCGAAAATTTGACTAGGTTGAGATTTGTCGAGCCACTGCCTGGCAGCGTTCCACCAAACTGGAGGGTACCTGGCTCTGGTAGTAGTAGACCCCCTAACTAAGCGACGACGGTAGTTTGCAGCGCGAAAGGGGTCTACGAAGTCTACAAATCGCCCTCGAGTAGCCCGGATCTCACCCCAGGCTTGGGCGAGTACGCGGTGCATGCAAGGTAGAGACGCAGAATCGTAGCGGGACTCTGCGATCTTCACTGTGTCCGCTATACGTACTCTGGCCTTGCAGTTTTGGACGGGCGGCGTTCGGGCCTACCGTAACATTCGAGCCACTTTCGGAGCGAAGTTTAGGCTTGTGGACCCCCTTTTCGCTCCGAACTTCAGTCATCGCTTAGTTAGGGGGTCTACTGTTACAATACAACCAGAGCCAGGTACCCCCAGTTTGGTGGGACGCTGCCTTTAAAGGCAGCAGCTCACGAAGGGTTGTTTCATACTGCAGTCGCTGCAGCAACGGCAGTCAATCGATCGATGTCTTTTGCCCGCCCCCATATGACTGCAGTAGCTGCAGCGACTGCATTATGAAACAACCCGAAAACCGAACATCTCGAAATTTTGACATGGAAGTATGCTTGCACCCCAAACATTAGAGCAGGGCAGGTCCGAGCGCACAGCCTGCCCTTCCCTGGGAAACTCCGTTACGCGCAGGCCATTCTAATACTCGCGGACGAGCTTGCGTCTAACAAGGAAACGATCCCAACTTAAAGTGGCGAATTGTCATGAACTGCATATCGTTAGATGCGTCTTGATGAGCTGATTCCAAATCTACCTTTTACATCTGCGATGCCGTTCTCTGCAAAAAGCTATGAGCGGTTGGAAATGTGAAGTCAATGGGGTTCCAATGCATAATGTGCTGCAAAATCCAACTTGGGAGTGTATGACTAGCATGATATTGAATGTACTGACTACAAGGAATGCTCACATTCAAAAGAAACGAAAAAGTGTTTTTGAACAGCCAATTTTCGAGATATGGCGCTGTATTTGCCAAATTTGGACTTTTCATTGCTCATAGCTTTTACCAAGGAGCTTTAGTTGTTTTTTAGTTGTTCAAAAACACTCTGTCTGTATGTATGTCAAAAACGTCTGTCTGTATGTATGTCTGTCTGTCTGTACGTATGCTCCAAATAGAAAATTTCATTTCTCAACCGATCCGGACCAAACTTGGCACACATACACTTCGGGCCCCGGCGGGTGTCTCAGTCCACTTTTCGTTATCGATCGATGTCGATTTTATCGATTTTTTGCAAAATTTGAGCTAGGGGGCTCAATTTGGCAAGGGGGTTTAATTGAGCATGCTGGTCACCCCCACGTGGGTGATCAGCATGCTCGATTACCCCCCTGTACCAACTCCCAGCCCCGTAGCTCAAATTTTGCAAAAAAATCGATAAAATCGACATCGATCGATAACGAAAAGTGGACTGAGACACCCGCCGGGGCCCGAAGTGTATGTGTGCCAAGTTTGGTCCGGATCGGTTGAGAAATGAAATTTTCTATTCGGAACATACGTACAGACAGACAGATATACCCTCGATAATCTTATATATAAAGCTGAATGTCTGTTTGTATGTCTGTATGTCTGTATGTATGTACGTATGTTCCGAATAGAAAATTCCATTTCTGAACCGATCCGGACCAAACTTGGCACACATACACTTCGGGCCCCGGCGGGTGTCTCAGTCCACTTTTCGTTATCGATCGATGTCGATTTTATCGATTTTTTGCAAAATTTGAGCTAGGGGGCTGGAATTTGGCAGAGGGGTGTAATCGAGCATGCTGATCACCCCCACGTGGGTGATCAGCATGCTCGATTACCCCCCTGTACCAACTCCCAGCCCCGTAGCTCAAATTTTGCAAAAAAATCGATAAAAGATATCGATCGATGACGAAAAGTAGCCTATGACACCCGCCGTGGCCCGAAGTGTATGTGTGCCAAGTTTGGTCCCGATCGGTTCAGAAATGGAATTTTCTATTCGGAACATACGTACAGACAGACAGATATACCCTCGATAATCTTATATATAAAGCTGAATGTCTGTTTGTATGTCTGTATGTCTGTATGTATGTACGTATGTTCCGAATAGAAAATTCCATTTCTGAACCGATCCGGACCAAACTTGCACACATACACTTCGGGCCCCGGCGGGTGTCACAGTCCACTTTTCGTTATCGATCGATATCGATTTTATCGATTTTTTGCAAAATTTGAGCTAGGGCTGGGAGTTGGCACAGGGGGGGGGGGTAATCGAGCATGCTGATCACCCCCGTGGGGGTGATCAGCATGCTCGATTACACCCCTCTGCCAAATTCCAGCCCCCTAGCTCAAATTTTGCAAAAAATCGATAAAATCGACATCGATCGATAACGAAAAGTGGACTGTGACACCCGCCGGGGCCCGAAGTGTATGTGTGCCAAGTTTGGTCCGGATCGGTTAAGAAATGGAATTTTCTATTCGGAACATACGGCGGAGCCGGGTAAGCCAGCTAGTCATCCCATATGTCTTCCCTCAACATGACGTGGATTACGTGGCTTGATGAGGCGCCGCCTCGCCTCGGGCTCGCGCCACGTTGCGAGCGCATCATTTGGCGCGACGTGGCGCTCAACACAACGTGGCGCAGGCTTTTCCACGTTCTTCTTGTTGCCACATCACGCCGAAAATGCGCACACAACAAGGCGCAAGCCCGAGGCGAGGCGGCGCCTCAACAAGCCACGTAATCCACGTCATGTTGAGGGAAGACATATGGGATGATATCGAGGGTACATACAGACAGACAAACAGACATTCAGCTTTATTTATAAGATAAGTATGATCAATGAAAAAGTAAGAGGCAGCCGTGTCCTCTTTTATGGTTGCGTTAACTATATACTGTAGCTAAGGTCAGCGCCGGATTCCGGACGGATAATGGTTTGTCCCGTCAGAGGAGGCATGCCGCAATGTTATAACTGCGAGGGTCCCGCAACGATTCTGCCTCTCTAACCATAGCGGGACGTGCCCCACTCGTCCAGATTCAAAATGGGGGGCCCTGAGAAAGAGTAGGGGAACGAAAGTCCCCAATTTGGGCCGCCTCCGCGGACTGCTGGTCCTGGGACGATATGCAACAACACTGCGAAAGGACCAGTTGGCCGCGAAAGGCGGCTCAAGCTGGCGGCTTTCGTTCCCCTACCCCCTGAGAAATGGTGGTTTTTGCCATTTTCGCGCTATTCAATGTGGATTTTCGGAGTCAGCGGCTTGAATTACCCCAGATAAGCCAAAAAACTTCAACTCGAGAATCTGCCGAGCCGCTACCTTTAACTCTGGCCATGATTCATAACCACGTTCACTTGAAAACTTGTGAAATGCGCTCTATAGCCAACTCATGCTTTGATGGGAGAGCGCTGGAAAACGTGTCTTATCTCGTGGACGAGAGATTTTTCGCCATCAGCTTGGTGGCTTGATTTCGTTGAGCTTCAGAAACAGTCTTGTTGTAAATTGGTGTTAATCTGCACCATTTCACGGCAGTACTCGAATATTATTACCAAACCTCTATGTACTAAGCGCATGAATGCATTGTGCTTTCAGTCCCGCACAGCCAGTCACTTGGATATTTGTCTAGCTTGTTTGTTCTTTCTCTTGCACGAAAGCAAATTGCGCATTTTCAAAAGTGGTGTCTCATCAGTCCGGAGAACTGACTGATATCATTTCCAAATAACGCGTCGCTGTGTTTCTGTCTTTTTTGAAAGTCGCTGCATCTTCGCGTCTGCTTAAAACGATTTTTTCAGATGAAGTTAAATTGTATAATCCTCATATTCATATCTGTAGCAGCCGCAGATAAAGAACGCGAGATTGACGGTGCAGCATCTCGTATTCAAAAGCATCTTGGCGAAACAGAAGACGATCATCACGGCGATCATCAGGCTGTCCTTGGTCAGTGTCTTTAGAATTGCGCTTCTTTCTCACCTGTTATTAGCTATACTGGATGGTTTTACGATTGTTTAGCTTTTTGCAAGCACCCTTGCTTTAAATATTTTTCTGTTCATGACAATGAAAGTACTAACCCGGTGCAACAAAGCGTCTATTCATATCGTGTGCCCAATGTGCTGAAACCATGTAGGTGGACGTTATGCGTTAGTATGCCCTGTGATCGCGGGTAAATTTCCAAATAGTTAGACAAAGTCAGGTAAACGCTGCGGGTTTGGCTATAATACTCCCGTGATTCCTGCGGTTTACACTACGCGCAAAGGGCGACTTAGAATCTCACTATTTGAGGCCATTAATGATTGAGTAATAGGTAAACTTCCTCGTTCTATTCTACTCTCGAAAAGGATGCACACTATGATTACACTGTGGAAATCGGTAAACGTCCTATTGAGGCAGGAAGTTTTCGGACGGATAAGGGGATCGGGGTCACCGAAATAGTACGGCGGCGAAACCCAACCTTGAACCCTTCCTGATAATGTTGTGTGATCCTCTAATGATGCGCCACGCCCGATCGTCTTTTGTTCATAATCATTTTCGTTTCTTTTTCATTAAGAACTCCTCAAAGTTGTATTGTTTATCCAATCCAACAGTGCTAAGCATGTTTCTGAGAAGAACAAATAAGTTATTCAAATATTTAGATTTTTGAAAAATACCAATTTTCGACTTGTTTTACCGCACTTTTCATAACTTCATACATCGTCCGTTCTTATCACAAAATGCTTGACACATTTGGGTTGGATAACCGTACAGAATTGGAGTGTTTTCATTTTACTTGAGAACGAAAAATGACTTCGAAGAAAAGACGGTCAGCCTGCGGAAATCATTAAAGGCAGCGTCCACACAGAATTTGGCCCCCCATGTTTTCGTCATTCCAGGGCCTTTCCGTGGCCCTGATTACAGTTCCGAGCTTTTTTGAGGGCGTGGACGAGTTTCGAATTGCTCGTCCCCGTCGGCAGGCCAGCGGGAAGGAGCTGCAACTGCATAGGTGCAGTTGCATTGCAGTGTGCAGTGTGCAGCTTCTGCTCACTATCTTGTCAATACGTGTCGAGAGGCACGTATTGACAAGGTAGTGAGCAGTCCCTGACTGGGCGGAGTCTGATATCAGACTCTGCCCAGTCAGGGACTTTCAGGCTCCTTATCTCCATTCAGAGACAACGTTAGAAGACCGGACCAACGCAGATGCCCCTTTTCTGGGGCCTACATTCAGGATCGACACTAAACGGAGGGAGTTAGGTTTAGCCTGGACACTGCCTTCAAGGGTTTATATAAAAAAAACGTTATGCGCCTTGTACACCTTCTCGTTCCTGTTTAACACGTTTCGGACCGGTGCTGCACATGGTGCAGCACGCTGCTTTGAGGGATCTTTCTGGCGTTTGCAGGAGGTTTCCTTTTAGTCCAAATTGTTAATTCAAACGTCTATGCTCCTACTTTTTGAATGACTCTGTAGAGCTGTGCCGCGCATATTTGTTTAGGAGATATGAGGACAAATCGAACAACAGTTGCAACGAAGTGCAGCAACGCGAACGACGCGTGAGACGTCGCAACTTCTCTTTGCTTCGATTCCAAAGATAAAAACCGTAGTTTCAATAGTGATGTGTACCGTGTACAACATAGATACCTTTAATACTATATGAAACTGAGTTCTTACTCCTATTTTTCAAGAAAGCATAAAAGTCCTCTCAAGCGACAAAATTCAAACACTTCGAATTCACTCAAAACTTTGGGTATGGAGCTTATCTGACATGCTGATTACAGATGCGGCCCACAGGCTGCGAAATAAGGTCCCTTTGCAGGCTAACGGCTGAAACTACACTTTATTTCGTCGCGCGCGATTTCGCGGTCCGAAACGTGTTAATATGTTTGTGATGAAAGTCAGTAGAAACGCTTGCTTGATGGTCAGAATGCGTGAGGACACTGGAGCTTCAGGACATGAAGATTTCTAGCCTGCGTCATCCTTCTCAGAGATGTTGTATGCTGTCTTTAGGCAGGCTTGAAGCGTTGAGCGTGCTTCTCTTCGACCTAAGCGAGGTTTCCCGCTACTGCTTTTTGCTTCTGACGTATGACTCTTTATTAGTAGATGGCTTACGGTTATACCCTTAGACTATATTCCCAACTGCTTAAATTGGAGTATCAAATAACTCACTAGTGAGTGGCACTCATCCACCAGGAACGCGCTAAGTCGCGAAATCATCTTTTTTGTGCATATGGTACGCGCTACACGTACGTCCATTGATCCACCTGATTTACTTCATTGCTATTGGTTGAATCAGTGAAATGAATAGCGAAGCGGATCAAGTGGACATCCGCATCGCTGTGGGCCAGTTCGCTGTATGACCAATAAAGCAGTGAATGAAGTCCCCGCGCCTATGTTTCATACATCTTGATTCTGCATGGGACAGCTTCGCTTTCCTGCCCGACTGTATCAGAGGTTGCTGTAGCCGGTTCGCCACTGTATTCGTTTTCATCGATGAACTTTGCAACTCCACTTTGAGAGAAATCACTTGGTTCCCACCAGTACACCTCCACTTATTCTCCATTTTTTCAACCACCCCCCCCCCCCCCTCAGTGGGGGTCGACAATCAAGCTAGTGTCAGGGATCGTTCGTACCGCGCACAAAGGCGGACGAAGGCGCACAAAGGCGGACGAAGGCGCACGAAGGCATGTGTGATTGTGTGTGTGTCGAGAGAAACGAGACGAGGCGTGTGTGAGTGAGTGTGTGTGTGTGTGTGTGTGTGTGTGTGTGTGTGTGTGTGTGTGTGTGTGTGTGTGTGTGTGTGTGTGTGTGTGTGTGTGTGTGTGTGTGTGTGTGTGTGTGTGTGTGTGTGTGTGTGTGTGTGTGTGTGTGTGTGTGTGTGTGTGTGTGTGTGTGTGTGTGTGTGTGTGTGTGTGTGTGTGTGTGTGTGTGTGTGTGTGTGTGTGTGTGTGTGTGTGTGTGTGTGTGTGTGTGTGTGTGTGTGTGTGTGTGTGTGTGTGTGTGTGTGTGTGTGTGTGTGTGTGTGTGTGTGTGTGTGTGTGTGTGTGTGTGTGTGTGTGTGTGTGTGTGTGTGTGTGTGTGTGTGTGTGTGTGTGTGTGTGTGTGTGTGTGTGTGTGTGTGTGTGTGTGTGTGTGTGTGTGTGTGTGTGTGTGTGTGTGTGTGTGTGTGTGTGTGTGTGTGTGTGTGTGTGTGTGTGTGTGTGTGTGTGTGTGTGTGTGTGTGTGTGTGTGTGTGTGTGTGTGTGTGTGTGTGTGTGTGTGTGTGTGTGTGTGTGTGTGTGTGTGTGTGTGTGTGTGTGTGTGTGTGTGTGTGTGTGTGTGTGTGTGTGTGTGTGTGTGTGTGTGTGTGTGTGTGTGTGTGTGTGTGTGTGTGTGTGTGTGTGTGTGTGTGTGTGTGTGTGTGTGTGTGTGTGTGTGTGTGTGTGTGTGTGTGTGTGTGCGTGCGTGCGTGCGTGCGTGTGTGTGTGTGTGTGCGTGTGTGTGTGTGCGTGTGTGTGTGTGTGTGTGTGTGTGTGTGTGTGTGTGTGTGTGTGTGTGTGTGTGTGTGTGTGTCGAGAGAAACAAGACGATACAGGACGCGCCTTCGTGCGCCTTCGTCCGCCTTTGTGCGGCTTCGTCCGCCTTCGTCCGCCTTTATGCGCGGTATGAACGATCCCTCACTACTCACCTCGAGCCTCAGTTACCCTCTATACTTTTAAAAGTCGGTAGCCGAAGCTCCTTCGTTTGCAGGGATCCTGCCCCCCCCCCCCCCTTCCCTATCGCAACTGTGATTTGGTGCTGTACCCGTACTGCTCGTTTCAGCAGGCGTGAGAAGCAGCGAGCATACGATGCAAATGGTTGCAACCGGGACACGTCCGGTGGGAGAGGCTTGCAATGGGGAGGTTTGGATGCAAGACAAGATTTTTCTCTCTTGCTTTATATGGTTTTTCAAGTTTTACCAACAAAATGCAACAGATTTTTAATCGCTTCCTCCCAGCTTCCCATATACTCAACTTTTATATGCTCTTGCGCTTTGCTGACCCTTTCTGAATTAAAGGCAGCGTCCAAGCAGATCTGGACTTACGGGGATTTTACGTGGAAAGTAATTTTGGAGCCCTAATTAAGGCAGGCAACGCAGGTGAATCACTAACGGTTGAGATATCGCTCCAAAGTGGATCCAGGATCGTGTTCGCATGGATTCATGGCACTTTCGCTCGGACCCACGCTTTGCGCCATGAATCCATGCGAAATACGATCCCGGGGTCCAGTTTCGAGGAGAATATTCCAGCCGTTGGAGCAGTACCTGAGCTACCGGTTGGGCAGTGGCTTAGTTAGCCCCAAAATTACTATCCACATGAGATCCCCATGTAGACTTGCTTCGACGCTGCCTTTAAGCCAAACTGCCTCCCTTACCCCTCCTGCGCAATTCTTTTTCATCCAAAAGCTACCTCTATGAAACTTTCTAAACTACCAACCTTTTCTCGCATTCTCACATCCTTCAGATCCGAACCAACCGCTTTCGAATCTAGGCCCAAGAAGCTGTTGAGAGAATGCTTTACTTACAGTTTTACAGTCTGCCGCAATCCGAATCAGGCTAAAATCCACATGTTGCGCTGTGTAACGCCAAGATTCCGCGTCATGTTTGTAACTTGCTAAGTTTTTCTTCACCTGTTCCTTGAACTCTCCTAACACGGAATGTAGCGCAAAGCCTTTGCGTTGCGAGCGCGCCGCTTAGAGTTAACGTTTCAGCGTGATCACGATTTAGACAGACTGTGCTTGCCAATTCTTATTTCTAATCTTGCGAAAATCCTCGGAATCTCTGAGTTTTTCAAACGCAAAAGTTTTCTGACCGAAGTGGCCGTCACAATCTCAGCAGAGTTCCTCCAGCTATGTGCATTTCCTTGACCATAATTGGGGCCATGCTTCCCTCATACTGTCGCGCCAACAAACTAGTTTTGAGGTTAGGAAAAAATGGTTAGTGGAGCCCTTGCTT